AAAAAAAAAAAAATCAGATTAGCCGAAAAACTTCTTCAATTTCCCTAACTTCTTCTAGTTGCCCTAATTACCTGAATTTTGGAGGGAAAATTGCTTTCATTTCCCTAAAATCCGAAGTAGATTAAGACAAAAATGGCGTCCTCGTCGTCTTTTGCTGGGCAATGGTCGTGTTTCGATTTTGAGGATGATGATGATCTTACCAGTCTCAATGGTTCAGGTAGTGAAACTGAAGGAACAAAAATCACTAGTTTTAATCATGTTCATATTTGTAATCTAAATTTCAGCATTGGAATGGTTTTCTCCACTAAGTCATAGCTCAGAAAGGCCATTCACTCTCATGCCATCAACACAAAGAAAAACATCAAGATCACAAAGAATGACAAGACAAGAATGCATGCAAAATGTGAAGGTGAAGAGAGCAATTGGAATTGCATGCTCTGAAGTTGAATGGTGAAGAAACCTTTTAGATTAGGGCATATCTCAGTGAACATACATGTGTTCCTTCTTACAAGGTAAAAAACATAACTTCAAGATGGTTGTCTGCTAAGTATGCTCAGATGTTCAACTCATATCCTACTAGAAAGGTTAAAGGTTTTAGGGCAGATGCAATGGATGAAATTCGAGTACAAGTTAATAACTTTCAAGCATATAGGGCCAAAAAGTTTTAGCGGTGGAAGCCCTTCAAGGGAGTGCAGATGAGCAATTCAATCTTCTATGGAACTTTGCTGAAGAAGTGAAAAGAACCAATCCAGGGAGTACAATCGTCATAGGGACTGAGGTTGAAAATGGAAAGAAGAGATTTGATAGAGCCTACTTGTGTCTTCAAGCATTGAAGGAGGGTTGGTGTAGATGGATGTCAGTTGAAAGATCCCCATGGAAGCATGCTCTTAACAGTTGTTGGTGTCGATCCGAACAACAATATTTTCCCATTAGCAATGGCAGTTGTCTCCAAAGAGAATAAGGACACATGAGAGTGGTTTTTGATTTTGTTAAAGCTAGATTTGAAGCTTCAGACTGACTATGAATATACCTTCATGTCTGATAAACAAAAAGGGTCAATCCAAGCATTTGATGAAGTTTTTCTGAATGTCGAACATAGATTTTGTGTTAGACACTTGCACTCGAATTTCAGTAGGGCTGGTTGGAGAGGACATGCATACAAAGTAGCCTTGTGCAATGCTGCAAAAGCAACTACTGCCTGAATTTCTAAGAAAACTGGATGCATTTTAGATAATGAGTGCTGATGCATTTTCATGGTTCAGTGACAAGCCACCACATTAATGGAGTAGGTCACATTTTTCTGATTTCAATAAATGTGACATGCTTTTAAATAATGGTTGTGAATCATTTAATTCAAATATTCTTGAGGCAAGGGAAAAGTCAATATTTTCCATGTTTGAATGGTTGGTGGAGTATTTGATGTATAGGATGCAAAAAAACAGAGATAGAGCCACCCAAAATGGAAAGGTGATTTTTGTCCTAAAATTCTAAAAAAATAAATAAAAAAGAACCAAGATGCGGTTGGAGGTTGTTTCCCTATCAAATCTGATGAGTTTCACTATAGAATTTCATTTGTTGATGGTCATAAGTATATTGTTGATTTGAAGAACTGTAGTTGTGCATGTAGAAAATGAGATTTAACTGGAATACCTAGTTGTCATGCCCTATGTGCTATCTATGCTGAGGGAAAGATGAAAATGAGTTCACTCATAGCTGCTATAGATTGGAGACCTATAGAAAAGTTTATGAACCAATTGTATTACCTTTTAATGGTAGATCAGAATGGTTAGAAGCTGGTATAGAAGCTCTTGCACCACCCAACAATGAGAGAGGTGTAGGAAGACCTGGTGGAACAAGAAGAAGGGAACCATTTGAAGATTAAAAAAAAAAAGGAAGATGTAGGGTCAGAATTAATAGAAATGAACATGTCATGAAGAGACAACAGACCACTGTGAGATGTAATTTATGTGGTGTTGGAGGTCATAACAAACATGGTTGTCCTGGGTCTAATGCTAGTGCAAATGCTAAACAAGTAGTTCAAGAACCCCAAAGGGAGAATGTCCAAGAGGTAGAAGATGGAGTTACTGGTTTTGATGATATAATCAGCCAACTAACTCAGGTAAGCTATTTGCTTTATGTTGAACCAGTTGAACATGCTTCATGATTATGTAAACAATTTGCTTTATGTGTCAGCCAACTAACTCAGGTCATACATTTTTGGTTTTTGCTTCATGTTTTCAGGAAGCTATTGTTGAACTTGCTCCACCAATAATAAGTAATCAAAGTGTCTTATTTCCCTTCAATCCCAAACCAACAAGAACACAAGTGTTCCCTTCTTCTGTTTTTTCAAAACCTTCATCATCAGTGTTTGCCCAGTTTGAACAATGTCAGTGTACCTAATGTTGCAACTAGAGAACCAGGTCATTTGGTCGGGGGACATTTCATTCCCAGTGTTGAGAGGTGCATTACCAAATAGAGCATGCATATCAAGCCAATTCAAGTTGAAGGAAGATCATACGTGAACCTTAAGAATCTCACTGCTGCTGTGAATGACTCAATAAAGCAAGAAGCCTTAATTGTTCTAGGATCTTTATGTTGTTGGGATGTACTATTTCTGGCCTCAAACATTGTGTTTTGTTGAGGTTATACGGTTGTTTTGAACCTTATGAATCTCACTGCTACTATTTTAGGTTGTATGGTTGCTTGTGTTTTGATTATGGCCTGTTATTATGTGGATGTTTGATTTGTTATGAAACAACTATTAATAGAATATCTATTTATTATGTCTGATTTGTTTTGGCATGTTCATGTTTATTTAGCAATGTTTTGACATGTTCTTGTCATGTTTGTCAAGTTATCTGTTTTGAGGCATTGTACAATGACCTGTATACCACTGTGAGAATAACACTGTGAGAATAACATTTCATACCAAACTTTGCATGAAGATCCTGTTAAAATAAATGTGCAGTAAGCATGCACAAATTGAACCAACTTGCCATTGAAACCACAAAGACCAACACATCAAGTTTTGAATCAGAAAATCACACTTTGAATACCAGCTAGATCGTTTGTTTTCACACACACCAATAACACAATCACATTTCAAGAAGAAAGAACCAAAGTAGCAATTCAAAGCAAATAGAGTGCATTTCAAATTACACAATCACATACTAACATTACCTACCAAGCTAATAATAACCAACCAGCTAATAACAACAAGCTAATACCAATAAGATAATTAACAACCAGCTTATAACAACCAACTTAATACAAAATCTTGACAATCAAGAAGAAAGCCCAAGACACAAACAAAGCTGATTCCAGAATCTTCTTTTTCCCAGTTAATTGCTTCATCACTTCTTTTATGTTTGAAACTTCACTTTCCAACTTGGCCTTCTGATCATTCAACTTTGTATTTTCTTCTTCGAGCTTTAAAGTTCCTTCTTTTAAATGTGCAGTTACTCCATCTAGCTTCTGAACTTTGTCCTTCAATTAAGGAGTTAGAACCAAACCTCTCTCACAAATTGGACCATCAAGCGAATTAAAAAAGTTGCATCCGGTCTCCTATCAAAATATTGAAAAAAATATAGTAATTAAATTTTATAGAAAGCCAAGAGATTTGGGTTATTTTTAAATTTTAGCATACCTTCCAATATTGACACCCATAAAACCTTCTACGAGGATTATCTTGTTTCTATGAAGTTCGAACTTATGCATTTTTCCCACACTTACAAAATACAATCGCCCTTGGATGAGAATCATACGGTGAATAAGAAGACGACATGGTTGTTTTTCGGAAGCAAGAATTAGGGCTGGGATCTTATTAGAACAAAAATCGGGTAAATTGATTTTGAATCGCCTTTTGATTTAGGAATAAACTCGAAAGCAAGAATTTAGGGCTTCTAATCGCGTTTCGATTTCGACCTGAAATTTAGGCATTTGAAAATTTCTAATCTGATTTATTATTTCGTGGCTTCGGGTCCACGTAGGATGCAAAAGTAAGAATTGGGCCGTCGGGCAAAAAAGGACAACATTTCTGCAATTTTTTAAGTTGCCGGAAGAAAAATAAAAAGTTGAATCGAAGAGAACCAAAACAAAAAAGACGTAAACTTATTGGATCATTTGTCTCATTTTCCCTAATTTTGTCATGAAATTTATAAGGTGGATAAAATATTAAAAATTACAACTTGTGTAATGCATAAAAAATTTAAGATTTAAGATTAATTTTGTTTTCTATATTTTATTATATATACATATATACTAAATATATATATAATATATATATATATAAGTGGACTCTGAGGTAACAGGGGGCCCTGGGTGGTCGCCCGACCCACCCTATTCCAAGGCCGACCCTGGTATGGACTGTCTAAGTATGAAAACAATGTGAAAAAACATTAATATGGAAAAATACATATATATCACTATTTATTTTTCGTGAGTAAAAAGTGAACATAAAAATTGCAGCAACACCAGTGTTTTAAAAATCGGATTGTACTGGCGGTCAGGTTGAAACGAAAATCGACCACTCATGAAACGGTATTTAATCAACCAAACTGGTCAAAATCAGCCAAAAACCTACTTGTTGGATCGATTTAAAAATTTTAACTTTTTTGTAGTTTATGAAAAATAATTTAAATAAAGTTTTTCATATAAAACCTATTTTATATATGTATAAATTACCGTGGAATTTAGGTATTTATATATTTTAAACTATCTACATATTTAATAAATAAATATTTTTTCATATATTAGTTACTATTTATAATTTCATAAAATATTTAACAATTTCTATACACGTATAAATGCAGAGTTATCATAAATAAAGTAAATAAAAAATTTAAATCTCTCTTCAAATATAAATCGAGTTTTCTAGCCTATTTATCAACTTCATCACTGTATGGTTTAAAAAACCTTGAGCAAAACACAAATTAAAAATGAAATAAATAAATTCGGATTAAAAAGAAATCAGTTCAATCTCATGTACATTCGTTCACAGCGACTGCATCTTGAACTCGAACTTGGAAACTGGAAAGAGCAGCACACGGGGAAAGGGAGAACAAAAATGATCGGAGTTGGGAAAATCAAGCCATACTCGAATGTTCTCGACAGACCCCTTGGCAAGGGTAAACAAGAGGTATTCGCATTTCTTTCTACTTTTCGTTTACATATGGTGTTTGAATTTTGATTGCCATTGAGATAATACGGTATTTGATCAGGTTTATATGGAAAAATTTCGCATACCCATTTCAATCCATGTCTTGTTGGGTGCAGCTGAATTAGCTGTTTCCATTGAAAAGTTTCTGTAATCAGTCAATTTGTAGTGTTTGAATGAGTTGTGCATATAAGGATGCTTTTGGTGCTGATGATCAAACTGAACGAGGATTTTGTTTCAGGTCAGTTTGAGCGCGTTTGCGTTCTTGTTTTCCGAGCTTGTTCAGTACAATCAGACTCTAGTCGACAACATAGCAGAGCTGGAAAGAAGGTCAGCAATTTTTCTCTGATTCTTGGTTGTGTTATAGGTATACTGTTGATTTGGAATGAGATAAACAAGCTTGGAAAATGCTAGATATCATGATATATGTTGTGACGGCGTATGAAAATATGAACATGTTTTGTTCTGAGAAGATCCTTTGCATTAATCGGAATGGTGGAACGAAACTGTTTAGCTAGTACCCACTTAAGTTAGCCGAACATGTTGGGAGACTTGGAATGATTTTCGCGGGTAATTGTGTCAATAGCTTAGATATGCAATGAAACATGAGTTTGTGTATTCATAAGGCTGTTTGGAAACTTTTTCCACTTACCAGCTTAGAGAAGAATTCTCTATTGAAGGTTTCATAGGGAATAAATGATGCCAAGTTAATTTGAAGTTTTGAGTAGACTGAGTACTTGATGAGTTTCTTGGATGTGGATCAGGTTAGAGGATGCAGGCTATGCTGTTGGAGCTAGGGTTCTGGAACTTCTTTGTCACAGAGAGAAGGTGGGGGAACTTCTTGGTTGAAGTTGGTCACAACTTCATTTCGAGAAGATAAAATAGCTTTTCTATATTTGTCTACTGATCGCGCCATTGTTTTTATAACACTTCTGTGTCTAATTCTTGACTGTTCGTATATTTTAAACAAGTATCACCTTTTATGTATTATATTTTTCCTGTAGTCTGCAACCGCAAATGAATAATATTATGCATATTGTCTTGTCAAGATTAAGTCAATTTCTGTGGCATGTGGATTCTTCCTATATGGTGACAATAACTGTTATGTTTTAGCATATAGCAAGATTGTACATAGGAATTTCTGATTAGAACTCGAATTCATTTTGTTTCCTTATTCTAGTGAAAGCAGTTTGAGAACATGTAATATGTTGCTTCCATCCACAAAGAAGAAAATATCCCATTTCAAGTGTCTGTAAAAACTCTATTCCATTGTGTGTAGGTATGTGAACTTGATCAATTTGAATACTAGGCATTAAACTGGAACTTCAATATTCTTATCATAGTCGTGATATGTTGATGAGCTTCTTCATTGTCTCACCTGCAATGTTGTTCTGATTTCTCAAATGAAATGATGCCAAGTGTTTGTTTATATTTTCGTAAAATAGTGGATCAGAATCATGTAATACATTAGTACATCTTATTATATAACCCGTGTATATTCTACAGGGCAACAGAAGGGAGACAAGGCTATTGGGTATTTTGTCTTTTATACACAGCACAGTGTGGAAGGTCTTGTTTGGAAAGGTAGAGATGCAGTTGAATCTCCTAATACTTCACTATCTGTTATTCAAGATTGCGTTTTTGTTTAGTGGATATGATTTAAATTTTTACTTACATAATGTGATGGAAAATATTTTAAATCTGGCAGCAATCTGCGCGTTGTTACAATTATAAGTTATAACCAGAAAATCACGTTGCTTATCCTATTGCTTGTTGCTCTAATTATCAGTTTACAATAATAAAAGCACGCTGCTTATTCGACTGCTCCTATAGACAAACTTCTTAACTTGTTCGGAGTGAAATACTTAAGTCACAGGCTCACAGCTTTAAATCCTTAGGTTTTGAGAAGACTTGTGGTGGTCGGTGATTATTATGTTGGTTCATGTAGTTGTTCTTGACTTATTCTTATACCACTCCAAGGTTTCTAAATGCAGCTTCGAGTTTGTAGTCTTTCTGCTTGGGATTAGATTAATATGAAGAATATTTAGTCCATAGCTTTATGAACAGGGGTGCATTGATCTTGAACTATACAGATATTTAACGTTAATATTTTTCATAAAACTGCATAAAGTTAGAGCCATCTATTCCTCTTATCTTCTGAACCAGGCATGACATTCAGTAACAGGAAATTGACTAGAAGTTGCGTGCAGAGTTGATCTTCTTGAATGTAATAAGGACATCTAAGATACTGATGAATTATTGATGAGCTAAATTGTTGGCTTGTCCATGTCATATATGATATAGAATGCATTTCATTTTTTGCCTTTGTAAGTATAGCATAACTTAATATGCACCATCATACATAAAACTTAATTGTGGCACTCTTGCTTTTGATCATCTAAAAAAATTTTAGGAGCAGGCTAATGGTTGCCGCTAATTTTTGCACTATATTAACTTCAGGTGGCTGACTCTCTTGAGAAAGGCACTGAGCATGAAGATGAGTACATGATTAGTGAGAAGGAACTTCTTGTAAACAGGTAAGTCATTAAGGTTCTGTTTCATTCTGTGCTACCTGTTTCGTATACTTCACGAGTTGATTTGGTCTTTCACTGTAGATTTATTTCGATACCCAAAGATATGGGCGCCTTCAACTGTGGTGCATTTGTTGCTGGAATTGTGCGGGTACATACTTAAGTGATCAGAGCTCATTTATGTGATAATTAAATTTGTTGAAGCACTAATAATTTTTTTTCCCCATTTTGAAGGGAGTCTTGGATAATGCAGGGTTTCCAGCTGTTGTAACGGCTCATTTTGTTCCTGTGGATGGGCAACAGAGACCGAGGACAACCATTTTGATTAAATTTTCTGAAGAGGTACTTTCTAAATTAAAGTTATGTGAAGATACTTATTCTAGCTATTGTATGAAAGTTGCTTGTATATGATGTTTGACCGAACATCAATGGGTTATGGTTATGGCGTCAATTTGGATAAGCAATACTAACAGGCAGCATATTTTAACATGGGGCCGTGTACTACTGAAGTGCATGACTAATTCTCGCATTTCTTATAGCTAAAGGAGAAACAGGGGAGAGATTACTAACTGAGAATGTAAATTATTAAATAATTTAATGATCAGGTCTGACAAAACAATAAAGTTACTCAATTTGTCTGTAATTGTATCTCATGAGTAAGTTTCTGCACCAGATAGTGGTTTAAAGTTACACCGTCTGCTTGCTAACTTTGAAAACAAGCAGTTTCTCTAGGAGTTCCAGATAAGTTCATCGATTTTATCTCAAGTAACTTTTCAAAACTCTAGTACTGGCGCCTAAAATTTGAAATTTTATTTACTACTCACTTGGTTAGGCGGAATTACCATTCTACCAGTCCCTGACACTGATTTGGGGAATACGGATGAAGATCAATTGATTATTTCTTGTGATGAATTAAGGGATAAGATCTTGTATTCTGATATAAGATATTAGAGATTATTTCTTCATGCATTCCATATCATATCTAAATAACTAATGACGAGGGACAGCTTAAAATTATATAAACCTCCTAAATTTGAAATGAGATTTGAAAAGTTTAAATAAATGTACATATAGAAGAAAGGCAAATCTCTTTGTTCTGGAAGTAAGTAGTCTAATGTCTGAGGATGCTGAGCTCTTCTTACTTGGATTAGTGGATCGACGGCCTTTAGTTTCTATCTAAGGCAGTGTACCATTTGAATGTTTGTGGTTCTCTGCCTGAACATGCTGAAAACATACTGTTAATGATTACCTGTTGTTGTTGTGCAAGTTACTAGAATTTACACATTAATGTACTCTGTGAACCTACTTTTTCTCTATTTTGGCGAAGAAACTATCACCATCTTCTTCGTAATATGCAAGCCATATTCATCAAGTTTCTTTGTTCGAAAAAGCTAATTTTTGCTGATGGTGTCTTCAGGTACTTCAGCGAGAAGCAAGATTAGGTTGACACTGATTCATCTGGATATCAATTTTAAAAAATACACCAATCTTTGGCTGAAAAAATCGCGCTGTTAGCCAGCCAAGGCCTCGACATATTTGCGGGCTTCTGACGACTTGGCTTTCGTGAGCATGGTCTGATTATACAAATGTGTCTATATTATTTTGGATACTTAAATGGTTGCATAAAGCTTCTCTCAGTTGTACTGTATAATGATGGGTGATTCGTGGTAAATTGTGTATGTGAGGTTTTTGGGGTTATTTCTCATGAATTTGGTGTTAAGATTTTGGCTTTGTCTAACCTTGAAATCCAAGTGCACCTGTAATTGAATTGTTTGGAAACAATTTTGTAATCTTCTTTGGTGAGGATTTTTTTTTTT